ACCTCGTGATCACACAGGCAAGTGTGCTTCTTCCATGTGGGCTTTGTTGCTTCTGAGCTAGATGGCCACTTGTTTATTTTCAAGCCTTTAAGACCCCAGACACTGTATCTTTTGATAGCCGGGCACCGTCAGCTTTCTTCACCCCATTTGCTTATGCACCTATTTACTAGACTCAATTCTTACAGAGCAGAGGAGACAGCTTCACCTGTCCCCCAGAGAGCCACTGATGGATTCAGATCACCGATCTTGCAGGCAGCAGGCCACCACTTAATCCACTTAACCCACTGTTCCACCAGGGCTTACATGGTGACTTAGCAGAGAGGAAATCCTGAAGGTGTTGTAGAAAAATGTACTACAACTTTGACTACAACTACTACCTTTGACTAGCTGCTCTTTCACCCCTGCAATGAGAGTCACAACTCTGAAAGTGGTTTTCATCCTTAAAGTTCTCATAGAACTTAGCCATTTTAGGACATTTCCCCAGAACTTTATAAGGAAGTGAATTTAGAAACCCGCTCTCTAATTTTGTCTTGATAAGTCCAAATAACCTCTCCCCAGGGCCATTGTGCTCAGGAGTCAATCTGTAAGGTCAGAGCCTGACTCAGGGCTTATCTCAGAGCGAACCTATTTTTTAGATGAGCAGATATAGAAATGGGCTTTTATAAGCAGGCTGCTGCCCGACCCTATCCCAACTACCTGTTACCTGGAGCTCTGTGCCTCTCTCACTGTTATTCCTTTCTCATTACTTCAAATAGCTTCACTCCGAGAAAAGGAACTAAATAGATTCTGCTCTTCAGACCCTTGTATCTCTCCCCACAACGACCAGTGACTGGGACATTGAATCTGGATACGGTGAGTTACAAGGATTCCTGTTAAAGCTGCTTGGGGAAAGGGGACACTGGAAGAGACCCAGGCCTTGACTAAACTTCTAGATGGTCAACTTAAGAATGGGAAATGATCCAACTGCTAGGCAGGAAATGCCTGGATTTAAGGCATCCTTCATCCCACAGACACAGCCTTCCCACCCTCACTGTACCCTTCCCACCAGGGAAGCCCCTAGTCTGGTCCTGCTTAGTCCTTCATGGCCAGGGACCAGGTTCCATAAAGACAAAGTTGCTACTGTGGGTTCTATGTCTGATGTCGTGTTTGTTGCCCTCAGAAATTCTCTCACCTATATGCACCTCATTATATTTTTCACCGGTCCCCGAGGGAGCTATGAGGAGGCCTATTGCAGGACACTGATATTCAGAGTGAGAATCAGGTTAGAGGTGCCTTAGAGCCAGTGTATTTCCACCTAGGATATGAGCACAGAGGAGTGGATTTAGGGGGGCGGGGAGGGTGGGCTTTTTGAAACACATGTACAGCCCATACATTTTGACTAGAGTAGCTCCTGTGAGGACGGTCTCAGGGCTGTTACTCGATGGGTCAGAGGGATGTTTCCAAACTAAAATCTTGGATGATGGCGTTCTCAATGGATAGCTCAGACAAATCCAGCTCATTTATAATTTTGATAATTAAGGAAATGAGCCCCCAAAGGGATGTGAGGACTTAGAAGTGAGACCGTGTTTCACACATGCTTTGAGGAAGGGCTACCAAGAAGTTGCCATGGGATAAGCACAATTGTGCAGGCCATGCAATTGCAACCCCGGGCTGTGATTTCAGGAAACTGACAATCTTCCTGTCCAGAAATAGCTCCCAAATACTTAAGGGGACTACGCCTCTTCTAGTCCCCTTAAGAAGTGACTAGCTTTTCTGCCTCCCACACCCACCCAAGCACCACACTCGCTGCCATCTACTTGACTGCAAGCCCTGTTTAGGGTTTCTGAGGTTGCAACATGTCTATTGGAGCCCCAGTGGCTAGTGGATTTGAACCTGCCAACTTTGCAGGTAGCCGACCAAGACCTACCGCACAGCACCACTAGGGATTCTTCATAGACACAGAGCTTCCACACCACTCTCTTTTGAGCACATGCATGTATTCTTCTGAGAGTGGCTGGTAGGCAATTGGCTGGGTGAACGTAGGACAGAGAGTGAATGAATATCTGTGATTCTCAAAATAATCTTCAGGGAGTTTTTAATCATTGAGTGGTATTTCCAGTTCTTAAAAAATGTTTATTGTTCATGAGGGAGGAGGAGCGGGGAGACAGGGTGAAAAATGAGCTGATACCAAGGGCTCAAGTGGAAAGAAAATGTTTTAAGAATAATGATGGCAACAAATGCACAAATGTGCTTGACACAATGGATGGATGGATTGTGATCAGAGTTGTACAAGTCCCCCATAAAATTATTTAAAAAAATAATAATAATTTTAAAAAGAAGAAAATGTTTACTATCTAGTGAGACTTTTCATGTTCTAGTTTGGGAACAAATAGTGATATTAAGCCCAAGGGTCGGCATTAGCAGGAAGAGTGATCCCCGAGCAGAGCGGAGCTCTTGGGGAGTGTTGGGATCATGCTTTCCCTTCTCTCTTCCTTGTGCAGGTGTTCCAGCCGACGGGGATGGCATCTTTTCTGAAACACCTGGGCCCTGCCTTGGTCCTCCTGTTCTCCTTATGGGAACAATTTACACAAGGCCAGTGTGCCTCCTCACGTCTGTTCCTGAAACAGCACTACCTGAGCACATCAAAGGAGTTCAAGCTGTACAAATGTGATGCGCTCATGAAGGAGAGAGAGGGCCTGAAAGACAGGGAGATCTTCATGTTCATCTACTCCGGATGGCACCAGATTGACGGTGTGTGCAGGAAGACTTTTACAGAACGGTACATCAATGTGTACGTGCGGAAAGATCAACCTTTCAAAGTACTCCTCTGTTTTAAGAGGAGTTCAAAGCCCGCCTACATAGAGAGAAGGATGTACACTTACCTTCAGTTCCACTGTGACATGGACGGCTATGTGGATGCCATGGAAGACGTAACATTATAAACATCGTCCACCCCTAGAAAGGCTCCTCCCGTCCCTAGGTAGTAAGTATATTGTCCAGTGCTTCCCAAGTGGCAGGGTCTGCCGACACCACCAGGCCTCACCCCTCCCTCCTGTACACTTCCTGTGCTGCTGTTTCCAAACTATCTAGACATACAATGCATACATTGTTTCTCGATTCCATAACTTTATGTAGACTGTTCTCTGCCTGAAACACCCCTACCCCCTGTGCTCATTGGCATTATTTATTCCTAGATCTCCCCCCAAGATTAAACTCCAAGTCTGAGCCCCCAATAAAATGATTTTTAAAAGAAGGAAAAGATTAAACTCCAGTGGCATCTCTTTCCTGACTCCCCCAGGATTTTTTCTAATATGGACTCGCCCCCTGCCGACCTGAGGAAACGGCACGAGGACTGTAGCTGACACCTTGTGCAGCCACCGCAGGGCGAGAGTCTAGCTCTGCCTCAGTCCGGGGAAGAGTCCCGTGAAGCAGAGATCAGACAAACCTCTATCCTCCACTCTTTTTTACCCTATTTTGACACCAACCATTCCTCCCACGACACTCCATTTCATTGATGGGTCCCACAACCTGCTGCCATGGCTACGCAGAGCTCACAGACAACACTCGTGATTATGACGGCTTACTCGTGAAGTTATCAGCTCACAACATGGTAAGCATACAATTCTTTTGACCATAGGCCTCTTCTCAGCCACGCTGTCAGGTATTGTTCTTCTCCGGTCCTCGGGCTCTCGGCCACATGACCCCCTGGCTCTGTGTCCTTCTGAGGGCCAGGAAGGCTGCCACTCTGCCTCATGGTCTTGGTACCACTCCCCTGCTCTGTCTCAGCATCCCCCTGCTGTGGCTTCTGGTGCCTCTGGAGCTTTTGCCACACACTCTGGTGGTGGCTCTTCTTTCTTAACAGTCACGGGATGCTTTCTCTTCTTGTTTCTGAAATGGCTCACTTACACACCCAGTGGAATGGCAAACCTGACCAGTGCTCCCTATCAGTGCTTCACACCCCTATCTACATGGCCTCCTTCAATTTGGTTGACATTGAGAAGACCTGGAAGGAAGAGTCATACCAAGTCATTTCACTTCACCACACTACCCAAGTCTCGTAATCTACCCTTCCCTAAATCATAGCTAAAATGTGTGGTATTTATGTGTGATGTGTGCAGAATGTGTCATGTAATTGGTATAGGTGGTATGCGTGTGTCTGTGTGTGTGAGATAGATTTGCTTACATGTAATAAGTGCTGAAGGTTGGTTTCAAGTGTGTTGGCATGTGTTTCCAATATATGTGATATGTTTTATGATGGGTATATAGATGGTTTTGTGCTAAACTGGACACGAGTTGTGGCCTGATATTGTGCTAGACATTGGTTGCAGTGATATGCTGAGTCTCACTGATTGGGTATAAAACACATAGCAAAACTCCCAGCTCATAGTAGGTGCTCAGTCAAATATGGCTTTCGGCTTCCTTCCTTTGGCTCGGCACTTTGACTTTGATAGAGCAAACATGTCAAGTACCCATCAGTCATTTCCTCCCTCTTGCGTAAGAAGTTGGAGATTTCTAATATCACCGGCGTGGACTTGATGGCAGTGAATTGAGTGAAAGACTGTTATCTGTGTGGGAGCTATACATTCTCACATCAATCAAAAAGAGTTCTCAGCCTTCTGTGAACCCCTGGGTAGCTCAAGACCACACAAGGGGGGACACAACTACAGCAGCTTTGGCGGCAACAACAAAAAACCATGCTGGACTCAGACCCAGGCTCAGTCCTTAAAGAAGGGCATCTTTAGTGAATCTCCTGCCCCCAGATACTTGTCAAAATAGCTGCCAGGAAACAGGGGTCCACTCTGGCTTCCAGGTGAGGAAAGGGATCAGAGGCTTCCCCAGCAGCAGGAGATAGGCTTCTCTTCATACCATCGGAATCCGGGACAAACGTTCCTCAAAGACTACTCATGCTGAGTAGTGGGGGGTGGGCACTGATTGAGTAGGCTCTCCATTCATTGAATATCAACAGGGACAAGTAGGAGGCAAGCTTGTGTGTGTGTGTGTGTGTGTGTGTGTGTGTGTGTGTGTGTGTGTGATGGAGTAGTGGTTGGGCTGCTGAGAGGTTAGTAGTTCTAAACTGCAATGGCAGTGAATTATTTAATATGGCTCTCTCTCCCAGCCAGTCTCTACCTCCCATCAAACTACCTTTCCCTGCTTGAGTCTGGTAAGAAGGTGGGGGAAGATCGTAAGAGGATTCCTCTGTAATTGTGAATAGGATTCCCTGAAATGCCATCCTGCTGTATATAAAATGAGCTTCCTGAGAAGGAGGAGGAGGGATCTCATTATCAGCAAGAGTCAGGAGTGGAGGGCTGTTCTCTGGACCCACCGTCCCTGTGCAGTGAGCCTTCTGGATCCAAAAGATAGCTATAGCATCCGAGGAGCAGCAGCAGAACTGGGAGCCAGAGCCTGGGGCAGAGTGATGGGCCTTCTAACCCATGGAGCAAGCGGAGCTGCGTGCTTCAGGGCAAGAAGCTGTCTCGTGGGGGGCTCCTGGGCACTTACTTGGGGAGTTGGAGTTGCTGACTCATGGAAGAGGAGCTGAATGCCTTTGGGTGGAGGCTTACTGGAGTGGGGTGCTTCTGGACTCTTGATTCAGGGAGCTGGGTTGGCTGATCCAAGGCCCTTAAGCTGAATGCCTTTGGGTTGAGGCTTATAGCAGAGTGGTATGCGCTTTGGGCATTGATTAGCAGACTAAACAGAGCTTTGTAACATGTTGTGATAAACAACTCAGTCTTGAGCATTTCTCACTGGGATTACAACTTGTTAGCTCACTCGATAAATTTTAATCGGTGCAGCCATTGCAATGGATATTAAAACCTAGGGGTAAAGTAGAGACATTAATTAAAAGAGTTCAGAAATCACCAGCTGCTTTGCAGGAGAAAGATGAGGTCTTCTAGTCCCATGAAGTGTTATAATCTCCAAAACTCACAGGGGCAGTTCTACCCTGTCCTATAAGGTCACTACAAGTCAGAATTGGCTTGATGGCAATGAAGGAGAGAGTTAATGCTCAACCTTGACTTCCTAGAAGCTGGAAAGTATCAAACTCAAAGACTAGGAAAGTCTTTTATATTCTTGACCGGAGGTAACAGGAGCAACCAGTGTTTATCCATGCCCATCACCACCACCACTATCCCTCGTCTATCACAAACTCTAGATTAAGAAGTTCATTCTTCGTTTATTAAAGCTTATGAGCGCTTACTGTTCCAGCCCCTGAGCTTGAGCTTGGCAGAAGCCATGTGAGGCCCCTCCTTTCTGAGAAGTGGCCATCTAGCTCCCCACAGCTTCATTTCCAGTGTGAATAATTCCTTCTGGGGAAAAGTTTGTCCTTTAGTTTCCTTGCCAAGAGTAAGCCCTCCTGCTAGCTGGGTTGACAACCCATTCAAACCCAGTGAGCACCTGTGTTCTACCTGGATAGACACAGATCTTGGGGAAGTTTTTGCAAGGGTCACATTTTGCCATCTTCAAAGATCAAGGAAGGATTCAAGTAATCAAGGATTACTGGGAGGATAAGGGTGGAGAGATGCAAATTTTCAGACCCGCTGGACATGATCCCCAAAGAAGCAGCTATTACTTGGGGCTGAAGGATTGGTGTAAACACTGGGGAGGGACAAGAAGTGGCCTTTATCAAATCACCTTTTGTTCTTCTCCTAAATACTCTTGGAAGCCTCCAGGGAAAGTTAACTGACTTAGAGCAACCCAAAAGAGGTAACTGTATTGGTAAGAGCAGGTGGGTGTTTAACATTATCTGAGCACACCAGTGACTTCAGAGGGGTTTCCTCGAGGTCCTGACTCCCCAGTGGAATGCATTTCCTCCCATCTCCCACCCCCACCTGTTCATGGTCTTCATTGGGAAGGCAGGGGTCTTTCTTCCCTAGGGTCTTTCTCCACCAGGAAATGAAAAGGGAAGAGAAGGGTTGAGCAAGATGACCTGGTGCTGAGATGCCACTCAGCAAGTTGGCAATGCCCACGGGGCAAGGAGGTGATTCAACTCTGGCAGACTTGAGCCAAGGATCCTTCACAGTCTGCCTGTAAAATAAGCTTGGTGCCCCCCCTGCCCCCCTCCAGACCTCACTCTCAAAGAGCCCCAGAGTGATTTAACCCACAATCTGAACCCCTTTTTGTTAAACCAAGAGTACAATGGCCTTCTGCATCTGTGTGCACTGGTTTCGGGGCCCCAGAGAGTGAAGTGAATGTGTGGTATTTCAACACCCCGCAAGAACCTGGATTAAACCCAAGTGTTTTCCTTTGTATCTGCCGGGATGTCAGAAAGGAAAGAACACTTTGAGGGGAAAAGGGGGTAACCCTCATTTCAAAAAGTGACAAAGGATGGGCAACTGAACACCCCTTCAATGAGGGGTTGTGGGGAGGAGATGAGCCAACCAGGGTGCAGGGTAGCAACGATGAAACATATAACTTTCCTCTAGCTCTTTAATGC